CTTAAATCTATCCATAGAATCAAGTTCTATAGCCGTGACTGAATCGGGATTTGCTAAGGAGATTTGCTCGAGATATGATGGCAGATGCGAATACCCATCTTCTGTTGTTCCTCTCACCAATGTTTGTGCATATAACAGTGCCCTGTATGAAGTGGTGTAATCAAGCTCCATGCCAAACATGTTCTTCATTGCATCTTTGGTATGCTGCGGAGTCAACCCATCAATGATTCCAACACGATCAATGAAAAGCCTACCGACATACTTCGGAGTACAGTGTCTCCGCTGAGCGATTCGGTCTTCCACTGAGCATGTATGTGTTTCCACATATTTTGTTACCCAAAACGTGTTTGTACCATGTTTCACACTCGCTCTTATCTTCCATCCACAACCACTAACCCGACATGTTGACACAAGGAGAGTTTTCGTTGACTTGTATATTCTGAAGGAGAACTTACGCCTCACTGCTGTCAACCGCAGCTCTAAAAGCAGTGCATCCTTGCTAACAAAACTCTTGTTGACATATATACTGTTTTCATTCGATCGTCCTCCTTCAATAGCATATGTATCTTTGAAATCTTCAAAAACCACATCACCATCTTCTTCCTCATCCTCATCTCTAATCTTTCCATAAACACTATAATCCTCACCATTCTCGTCCGCTTCAGAAACATTAGAGCAAACAGAGATTTCAGCATCATCCTCCTTATCATCCCCCTCCCCATCATCCTCCTCCTTATCATCCTCCTCCTCCCCATCATGATTTTCATCTCCAACCAACTCATTATCACCTTCATCTTCAAAACATTCATCAGCTTCGTCCCTTTTCTCTGAAATCGTTCCCACCTTGCTACGGCTTGATACACAAAGACATACTCTATGAGTTTTGAGTATCTCGAGCAAGTTATGAACTTGTCTATCACTTGTAACATGAATGGGAGGGGTGTCTGGAGCCATCATCATTTCTGCTGGTAATGAGTATCTAATCTCCACAGTGACTGTGCTCATGTCCAGATTATAATCTTCTTGTGCCATTGCAACAAGTTCAGCATGTGTTGAATCTTCATTCAATAAAAACAATCTTGCTCCTTTGAGATCATCAACCACAAAATCCCAACGGCAATCTTTCAACAACCATTCTCTATACACTGCATGTAACTGACGAATCATCTGCAAAAATTCAAAATAAAACACATTAGTAAACATAGAGAATTTCATGAAAGTTTACTAAACATCGTCTGGACGACTTAGTTCTAAGTCGTCCGGACGTAAGTCGTTCGGACGACTTACTTCTAAGTCGCCCATTGAGGTCATTTTTGCAATTGAAATTTAAATGGGACGA